TGCTATTTTGTTTTCGTGGTCAAACATCTTGAAATGATAATCAGGAGCCGAATGGTTGTGCTTTGTTTTTGATGTGAGCGAAGACGAAATGTTGTTTGAGAAAGGCAGGAAAACGGGTTTATAATGGCTTGGAAATAAATGGATGCCCTTTAAGAGTGTGGAGGGTAATTAATTAGCCACAAGTTTGGAAGTCAGTGTTAATTAAGTGAAAGAAAAGGGTTGTTTGTGTTCCCTCACCACATACTCACCCTGAGAAAAGTTTTTTTTTTAATTCTCAGAGAGAACAACTGGCAGAAAAACTGTCAAAATGTAATCAAGACAGAATTCAGGAGACAAAAGGAGAAGGGTGGAAAAACTATTTGATCTGATTTACTAAAGTGAACCTGCAAGCAGAGACACATCTGCCCAGCAGATCAGTGTGAAAGCATTTGCTTCTGTTTACCCAACTATTCCAATGTATCAGAGAGTCAAAGCTGACATGGACACCTATCAATGGTTTTTAAAGGCAGGGGCATAAAAAAAGTTATGACGGTCAGCTGACTGTCAATGTTGCCCCTACAACTTATAATACATCTTTTGGACAGAGGATCTTTGTTCTGTTGAGCTGCTAGCCTTCTTTTGCTAAATCTATCAAAAGGGTTGAGAAGAAATGTGCTGGCAGGACAATAAAGACTCCAAGTGAGCCGTAAAACCAGTGGGGACTGGGATCAATACTGGCCTCTGTGCTGGGAGTCTCTGCTCGTAAACTCAGCAGTGTCTCTCCGAAAGTGCTAACTGCTTGCACCTATTACACACACACACACACACACACACACACACACACACACACACACACACACACACACACTGAGAGGCTACACAAGCTACTTTTTGTTTCTGTCACGCACCATGAATTTTATTCAGCCCAAGTTAAACTCAGAGATGAAATGTCAAGCAAACAACTGACGTTTTTTGAAAACAGCAACAACAACAAAAAACTGTAGGAAAATGAATCATTAAGCTTCAAAGCAGGAGGGAAAACACATCATACTGCACGTTTAATAATTCAAAGAGACACATTTACATTGACGAGTCAGGTTGAATATCTTTCTCGTTCTAATACGGCAACATTTGCCTTCTTCAAGATCCTCACTGCTGCTGTGTGCATGAAAAGGGAAGATGATGTAAGAATGACTGTGATACAGGCATGCTGTATGTGTGTGCATGGTATGTGTATACATTATAATCATACATCATTAAGATCAAAAAAAGAAATCGACAACAAATTGCTGCATTAAGTGTGTGTGTGTGTGTGTGTGTGTGTGTGTGTGTGAGAGAGATGATGAGCGAGTTAAAGTGAAGCTCTCTGGTTCGGCCGCTGGTGAACAGATGACTGCATGCCCTGATTTATCACAGCTGGAGCTTGATTAGCATCCTCAACAGCAGCTGCTTGTTGATGGATCAAGAGGAGAAAGGAGGACTGACAGATGAGAAGACGTATGACGAAGAGCATGGGGGAGATGATGGATGGAGAGGATGTTCCACAGTTTGGATGAAGAGTGGGAGGTGTCGCCGAAGCAGGAGGAGAAATCTACACAAAGACATGGAAAAGGAGCAGATAGAGGACGAGAAGGAAGAGAAGATGGAAGTGGAGACATTAGAACGATGGAAGCTTGCAAGAGAAGAAATACAGAAAAAAATGGACAACGAAGCAAAAGATTTCTTGCCATCTTTATAAGTTTTCTTGACATAAAGTTATCCATTGTCTACTAATTGTTACCATTCATGTAACTCATGCCTACACTTGACGGGCGGACAGCAGGACAGAGAGCAGGACTCCAGTAGGACGAGAGGAGGTGGACTCTGTGTTTACAGATGCTTGGTGCTCAAACACAGTCAACGTTGATGGGCAATGTTTTCCTCATGTTGAGTTTTTAATGTGAAGATGTCGGCCATATTATCTGCCCAGAGAGGTTTTTTTTGTTGCTGCTGTTTACATTCCTTACCATGCAAATTAAAAAAATGCACCACAGGAATGTATAGTACTGTTTTTGTTTTGTTTGTCATGTGTTTGTTGTGTTACAAATGGGCTAAAGACGGACTGTCGTTGTCCATCCCTGTGTTGCATATTGACAATAAATGATCCTTGAACCTTAAATTATTCATTGAAAATGGAAACAGGAATGGAGATGTGGCCACCATTGTGGGGTTTGACAGAAAGTCAAGTGAGTTAGAAAGTTAAACTGTAATAAAAAAGGATACGGTGATAGTTTTCCAACAACAAGCTAAAATATTGACACTATAGAAAACAACAGTGGACTACTTCCAGCGGCGGAGGGTTTTTGTCAGACTAAGGAGGACAGTTGCAAGTTGAGGCGGACTCAGCGGATGAAGGGCAAATGCAAACAGGAGTAACGTGAACGTTACATGAAGTTTTCAAAAGTTTACCCAAAGACAAAGAGGAGGTGAGTGTGCTTTATTTTTTTAATAAATATGTGTTGTTCAATAACATTGAAGCTCTCCGTGCTCTGCCAATGTGACTGCATTATCACCGCATTATATCCGTGCTAATTCATTGCTCAAGGCCTCAAATGATAAAACAGTTAATCACGCTAATAACGAAACACACCACTCTAGTCCAGATATTTTAATTGGCGAGTTGATTGCGAGTAGCGTTACTGGACATTACGTGCATGCACTCGCAAACATCTGATTCATCACCATAGCTGCTGTTTAACTGTCTCCCCTCACTGTTATGTTTAATATTAGAGAAGTGATTTACTTTTTAGTCAACACACATGGTGATGCTGCCCAGAGTTTTGCTGAGGATTTGTATTTGTGTTTGTTTCATGGCATGCCCCTTTCTCTATCTGGCACCAATAAAACAAAGGAGTGGACACTAATCATGGAAAAAGCTAAGATGTAAATAGTTTTGCTTTTGTCTCAATAGAAGCTTGGCCTGCACTTATTTTATTTCCTCGGAGGACTTGTGCTGCATGTGTGTCAAATATGTGTTCAAAATGTTTTCATCATTACAGATGAATTCATTCCATTTCACTTTTTCCTTGGTCTTTATATGGATTTATATAATGTCATACAGCAACGGCCACCACATCATGCATCTGCAGCTAAACGGACTAGATGCCTTGGTGCCGAGTCTCTTGAGAACTGTACAAAGCAGCCGTTTCATCAAGGAGGTTGACCTTTAGCAATGTTCTGCAGTGACTTCATCATAAGCAGCCATGTATCGAAATAAACTTAGCAATGTTTACTAAAATAAGGATTTTGATGGGGACTGTCCTCGAACAAAGAAATTCTTACTAAACCAACTCTCATGATTTTGTCGACTAAGCGATTAGTTTGTCAAATCGACAGATCTGTAAAAAGAAAAAAGCACCACAATAAATCTTTAATTTACCAGAGATGTGCTCACAAGTGTCTTGGAAATATGTCATTCAGCCTGAAAAAAGCATTAAAAACAGCTTATCGACTAAAGAAATCTTAGTCGACTGAGACCAAATCGAGCGATTAGTCGACTAAGAGGGGGCAGCCATTATTTCTACCACAGTATAATATTGCATTCACTCACTCTTGTCTCTTGAATTGTACAGGACACAAACGAGGACAGAAGAACAGCTGCTGTATTTGGTCTTCTGCGAGGATACTTCTGAGAGAATCCGGATGTATGATGTAAGGAAATATTATTGACACATTGATAAGATAATGATCGCACTGGGTTCACTGGTATTCATTTTAAAAGTAACTGAAGCAAATGTTTTCCACATCCATTTTTGTTGGAATAATCACAGAACCTTTCTTTTCACTAAAACCTTAGTTGTTGTTTTTTAAAGAATATTTACAATTAAGTAGTGAGTGGATATTCTATGTTTTTCCTTCTTCTTTTACTCCAAATTATGAATAATAAGCTCTGCACAAGCTCTGTAGGTCATGATTAAATCTGTCCATATGTTTTAGGTTCATGGTGAAACCTTGGACTGGTTATTGGACATGAAGGTGTCCTGCGTGATGCTTTTCATCTTGAAATCTTCAACGTGGTTGTGGTGGTGGAGACGATTGTTCCTCCTGACCTCTCAAGGCTGAATGTTGGCCAAGATTTATATTAACACCTCAAGCATTGAGGAAACCATTCTCATTTTGCACTGTTGGGCATTGACTAGAGGCAGAAACGTTACTCATGTTTGGTCTTGTTGCGTGTAGAAAAGTGTTTACTATTTGGGTAGTGTTCAGAATATTCGTAACGCCACTAAATTCATTTTCTAAACCATTCAGTGGTCAGAAAGGTACGTAAGCTTGTTCATAGAAAAAGGACACCTGAAGCTTTGGAGTAATTGATGAGCAGTTATGAAAAAATAGACAAAAAAGGATGGAAATGTTTTTATTTTTTATTGTGTATTAGGAATTCTGGACATTTGTAAAACTTTAAAAAAAAAAAACAGTGTTAAAGTCATTGATCGTGTTCAAATATATTGTTCTGTATATCTTTGAAAAGATGAATTGTACGTTGACTCAGTGTGAAGTTGAATGAACCTAGCAAACTTACCATTAGTAGTCAAAATATGGAATAAAGATGAAACAATTTCAAAACATTAGTCTACTTAGCTTGAAATGGCAATTTGTATGATTGTAGTTGAAATGATCTTAACTTGAAATTGTGAGTTGATATTGTGGGAAATTCTATGTTTGACAAGATAATAAAATGTTTCTTTTAAATGGATAATGTAACGTGGTTGTTTTAACTCAGATTATCAAGTGTAAACAACAAATGATCATTAGTTAAACTTGTATAACTTAACTTTTTGAGTTAAAACAAAATGTATCTTCAAATTGAGTTTAGTTTTTAAGGCAGCAGATGAGCTTTTGTTTTTGAAGTTTAACTAACTTCCAATGTATTAGTGTTGCTTCATGCATACATTCAAGGACATCCTATAAGCTGTAGGATTCCATTGAATAGCTTATGTGCGTGTTGCTTTATATCCAGATGTTTTTCTCCCTGTTTGCAGGACCTGTGAGGACCAGGAGCCCGTCAGACAGGAGCAGGAGAGGGGCCTTCAATGCGTTCGCTGACACGCAGACAACAGGTACTGAATCCATCAGCAGTGACATTCAGACCTGTGTGTATGGCAGTGGTTCTCAATCTGTGGGAGTCGAAGGGGGGTCGAGTGTGTGAGATGAAAGGGACAGGTGTACGTCTGTGTTTAAAACAGGAATTTGGTTATTGTAGTTTGTCCCGCTTATTAATACGGTCATCTGTTGGCGTGGAGGTTTGTGATGACTTAACATTTGTTATTGGAACAAAAGAGCAGCAGTGTTGGTCTGGCCAGATTGTTGTCCCATCACCAAATAGCTTCATCAGAGTTATGCATTACTTTGGAAACAAAATAAATAATCAGTTTATTGCTAATACATTCTTTTGTTCTGAATCACTTGTATTTCTCCTGAGGAAGAGCTCAGGTTTCAGTGCATGCAGCAGACTAAAAAACGAGACAATATTCCTCATCAGTCAAGGCACGGGGCTTGGGAAATAACCTGGACCATGCAAAGCTCCCTTGGGTGTATGAAGTCAGTTTCAAATCGCGGTAGCAGACCTCCTCTTCAAGTTTGTAACCCATCCTTTCTCTTTTCCAACCCCCCCCCCCCTTTATTTCTGTATCCTGAGAATTTTTTACGCATTTTCTAACCCTACATTCTTTTGGTTTTCCTTCATGTCTCCCTTCCATGTGCCTCCAGGCGTGACAGAGTGGACGTCTTGGTTCAACATCGACCATCCTGGAGGGAATGGAGACTATGAGCGCCTGGAGGCGATCCGTTTCTATTACAGGGAGAGGGTTTGCGTTCGGCCCGCCGCCATGGAGGCTCGCACTACAGACTGGGTGGCAGCGGCAGACACCGGGGAAGTGGTCCACTCCAGTCTGGAGAAGGGCTTCTGGTGCATCAACAGGGAACAGCCTCTGGGCCGCATCTGTTCCAACTATCATGTCCGCTTCCAGTGTCCTCCAGGTAGCTCTGACAACAGCAGCTAAGGGTTGTTCAAGCTGTCACTTCATAGACATGAGCATACAACCAAACACATGCATGAATACACATTTCACATTCATGAAAGCACTGGAGGACTCACCCTCAATAAATGCTCTTGAATAATGTTAAATAATGTATTTATTTCCTGATTCTGCTTGCAAACAGTAGCACATAATAGCAGCTTTAGCTCAGGATGTCTCACTTCCTTCTTCAATGTGTGTGTTTAGTGCAGAGCTACTGGACTGATTGGAGTGAGTGGGGTCCGTGTTCAACAACAGTCTGTAACGACGTGGGCATCCAGGTTCGCCAGAGGAAATGTGTGAACACTCAGCCCATGCCTCTCCTGCTGGTGCCGGCGTGCCTTGGGCACCACTCAGAGAGGAGGGAGTGCTCCAAACCGCCGTGTACCGGTGAGAATAACAGGATTAGCCAGAACCTAACTTGCCGGTTCCTTTTAAATTGTACAATGCCATTGAATTGCATGTGAAAGAATAATCAGAAGGCTTATGGAGGTGAATAAAATACCATGTTGCTTTGTACAGCAATGTAAAATAAATCTAGTGTACTGTAGAATAAATGTCAATCTGAATACAATATTCTTACATGAGAAATAACATTTAATTGGGAATACATTCTTCCTTTATATATAATTGTTACAGCAGAGATTATTATATAAAAACTTAAGTTTTGGTATTCATTCTGACATTGAAAATGCCTAAATACCATTTTCTGTTGTATGGTCTCATTCAGCACCCTCTGGAGCAGAACTTTGAGCTTCTTGTAATCAGCGATCTTTCAATTGCAGCTACTTAATCTGCTTTCTTGTGCTTTTTATGCCGGCAATACTGTATAATTGCACTATTTATTAACTGATCATATATGCCCTATACTTAAGAGAGTTAACGACTCTCATTAGACCACTTTGTTTAAAGTTTGAATGATGGAGTTAATGAATAGATTAATCACGAAATAACAGAAAATATGAATGCATTACTTGTTGAATTCCAAACTCACGTCATTCCTGTCTCTCTCTGTGTGTGATCAGCCAAGTGGGGTCCGTGGGGTCGGTGGGGGACGTGTTCGGCGACCTGTGGTGGTGGTCGCAGGATTAGGAGACGGACCTGTGTGAGGACCTCAGAGACAGTTCAGTGTACCGGGCGGCCTGTTGAAATACAGAAGTGTGGGAAGAGTCCATGCCAAGGTACTGTATGCAAAGTCAAGGCTGTTACATTGTGAAATCTTCCTTTATATGTGTGTGTGTTTGTGCTCATGTCTCTGTCTGTCCCCCAACAGCCAAATGTCAGCTTGTGTGCTCCGAGGGCCGCCCCAATGAGGACTGCAGCCAGTGTACGTGTGAGGACCACGTGATGCACGGAGAAGTCCACGGTGTGACCGGTGTCCCCGTGGCAGAAGCCTGGGTGGCTCTGGACAGCCAGCCCAAGGTGATCCGTGCCCTTACAGATGCCAAAGGTCAGTTCAGGCTCACAGGAATCTGCTCCTCCAGCTCCACCTTGATCTCCATCAGGAAGGATAAGTTTGCCCCGATCACCGTCTCCAGCTCCAGTAACGCCACAGGGTTGTCCTGGGTACGAGTGGTCCTCAAATCAGCCGGTGAGTGCTAATAAAAAAGATTATTAATGAAAAAAAGAATCTTTTTCTATTGATGTCTGTTGCTTTCAATCAAACCAAACACAAAGCAAGTATAATTTAGCATTAATTGAAGATATTGTTGGCTATTTCTTAAAATAACAATTTTCACTTTCAAGAAATAGTTTCTTGATTTCCTTTGTTATCATTCTACAGAGCCAGTAAATCCTCCAGTCATATTCGCAGACTGTAGAAAACAGGAAATTGTCAAAGCTGCAACATAAACAGTCTGGCCTATTGTAAGACTTCACATTGTCTGGAGCATTGACTTGTTTGGTTGCATGGAAACCAAATCAAAATAACCCAGTGTGCTTTTGAAAAAGTAATCCCCCCCAACAATCATTTTTCATAAGCACAGGGACCAATCAAACAAAGCAATGTCTGAATGAGTTTTATGAGGTCTCAAATCTCTGCGGTAACATTCGCAACAGTCAGAGGAAGGTCTTGAGGGTTTGCCCTGATTCCACTTTCCACAGAAAAGCCGTACATTGTGAAGCACCCGGAGGACAAAGTGCGTTTTGAGGGAGGACGGGTGATGTTGTGCTGCAAGGCAACGGGATCACCAACACCTGACAAATACTACTGGTGAGAGGAATTATTGTGCTGGCGCATTATTAATCACAGAAATAGCTAGCAACAGAGCGGAGTGATTACTTTGACATATTGAGAAATTTATATTTGGAGGTTCCTTTTTATTAAAGTGGCATTAATCAGTTTGTTTGTTCTTTCATCGGTCTTGAGAATAATGTCTCTGTAGCTGCTAAATACTCCGTTATGTTCACCAGTTAGAGCCTTTATCCAATCTGCTATTTGGTGCTGGGCAGGTAGCACATAGGTTTATCAAAGCCCTTTTTGGCTGAAATCATCAATTTTTACAACAATCTGCATATTTTTAGATTTGAGTGTTACCATCATCAACATTTTATACATATCTTTTTGATATATTAATGGTATAAATCCAAAAATAAAAAGTTTTTTAAAAAAAGTTTTAATTTCTGTAACTATTTTTCAAGGTACCACAATGGGACTCTTCTGGACAGGAAGTTGTACAAGTATGAAGAGGACCTTGTACTGTGGAGCCTGAAGCCGGAGCAGTCAGGGCAGTACTACTGCAAGACCAGCAGCTCTGCAGGCAGCATCAAGTCCTCTCCAGCCCTCCTCACTGTAATCGGTAAAGTCTTGGATCTCTCACTGAAAGCAATTGTGTCTCGACTTCACCGTAGTTAGGATGTTTCCACTTAAACATAAACCCCTTCATATAGGCCAGTATTTACCTCTTTAATCTGCTGGTTTGAAGGCCGCTTTGATGACACATATCAGTGCAAGTAAACGCACAAAAGTTGCGGCGAAAAGGGGAGAGGGGGTATCCTTTCTATTTGGTCTAATTTGTTCTCACAGTCAAAACGACACAAAAGCTCCCTTCTAGTCAGTGGCACAGTGATGTAATGTCAACTGTAATTCATCATCATCAGCCTGGACAGAAAACCATTTAGTGTGATGATAGCGGCACACCGGGATCATCGCTCAGGATGGCTGCTATCCCAGTGCATTTGACAATGACGTGTTAAGTCAAAGTTCGACACAAGATTCAAGTAAAACCGCTGACAAAAAGCAAACAACCACAATTTACTTTACTGTATAAAAAGCAGCTGCCTCTGAGCTTGCAAGAGGCATGTCAGTGCCAAATCATCCATGAGCCATGTCCATGCATGAAGAGGATTCAAACAAAACCACAGTGTGCTACAACTTGAGGGAGAGAGAAAAGTCAGTTGATAGAATGTCGGTCATTGGCGGGAAAAAACATTTTATTACAGACAAAAAAAAAAAGGATAATAAAAATATCAGGGCTGGCACACTGTGGCGTCTTGGAGTACGTTTTTATTATGTTGACGTTGGTTGAAGCCACGACTTCCTAAGCTGGGGTGCTTTATTGTGTGGGATGACTCTGGACACCGTAAAACCTCAAACACAATTTCTCCAGAACACCCGGTGTTGAGGCGAAATCCAAGCTTGTCAATAAATCCTGTTTCTTTTCTCTCTCGGAGTCTATGATGACGCATAGAGTATGTGTGTCCACACCCGCGTGGGCGAGCTACACATTGCTTATATCCTTCAGGTGCTTGTTAGCTAAGACACGGTTAACAAACAGGGCTTTCATGGAAGAGTGCTAAAGTAATCTATCCCAGGCCACAGACAAATCCCTGCACTCCAAAAGTCACCTGTGCCTCAGAGCAGGATGAAAAACTTTTACTCCTTCTAACACATAATTTCTTCTCTTATTTTACATTATGCAGAAGTTTAAGTTGATTTCTCATAAAATGTTTTAATCACAGTTCATACAGATGACTAACAGTTACATAATTTGTCATCAAAGGAAACTCTAAGCCTTTTTGGTAAAGTCATCTGCAGTACAGTAATGGTTCATAGGAATCGCTCTGCTCCATGTGTCTGCAACTATGGATTTACTTGGGAGATTGGGAGCTTAACAAGGCTACTTGACTATAAAGTCAAACATGATATCATGCACATTCATTATTCTGCCAATGTCTGGGTGAACACTAATTCTTTCTTTCCAACTCCCACTGGATGGTTGGTGAATAAATGTTCTCTTCAACTTCATGTCTAATTACCGTTTCATGCACCTTTCACCGTTGAACTTGGCCACTCAAAGGTGCTTTCAGGCCATGGAGACTCGGTGTGTGTGTGTATGAATACATTGTATAAAATCTATGTGTGAAAAGGGCAGAAATAATATCTTTCAAATACCCAATTGGCAGGTTCCAATTTATTCCCTATACACATGTCCTATTCCACTCATGCATTGATATACAATTATCCGGTACCCTGCAATTTTATAATTACAATCAAACTGATTTGACAGGCTTTTAAGATCTTAGAGAAAGTACAACTTAAACAGTTCAGTATTCAACATGGCAAGTCTGTTAATTTTTGCACTGAGAAAAAGCCTTTCATGTTTTATGTACATCAGATAACTGATTTTATCTTTCATATGTGTCGCATCAACACCAGCCTAATCTAATTTATCGTCTTATTCACAGCGAAAGGAAAGCCAGCGTGCAATTCCACCCCTGAGACGCACTTCATCAGACTGCCGATGGACTGTGTTCAACATGGGACTGACTCCATGCACTACAACACCGGCCGCTGCCCTCACAACAAATGCTCTGGCTCCCTAGACTTTGATATGCGCTGCAGAGATGAAGCCGGGTTCTGCTGCGGGGTCCAAAATACGGAAAGTCGAATCATCGACTGTGGGAGCTACAGCCTCCCAATCCGGGCTGTGACTCACTGCGGCTGTCAGAAGTGTTTGCAGCCGACTGTGCTGGTCCGTGGCAGAGTGGTCACAGCTGACAATGATGAGCCTCTGCGTTTTGGGCACATCTATATTGGTAAAGAGAGGATGGGCACCACTGGATACCAAGGAGGGTTCACGCTGCAAATTCCTCCTGACACACAGAGATTAGTGGTCAATTTTGTTGACCCCACTCAGAAGTTTCTTGACACTCCTAAAGTGTTCATCCTCGATAAGAAAGGTGGGTCCATCTACCACAATGTGAAGGTGATGAGAAAGCAGACACCAATTGACATCAATGCAGGAGAGACCAACTCTATTAACCTAGGGGAAATTGAAGGCGAAGACCCCATTGGTCAGTTGGTTATTCCTCCCAACTCCTTCCACAAGGACAATGGAGAAATCTATGAGGGAACCGTGAAAGCCAGCGTCACATTCATTGACCCAAGAAATATCACCACGGCGGCCGCAGCGCCTGGTGATCTCAACTTTGTAGACAGTGAGGGTGACATGCTCCCTCTGAGGACCTATGGCATGTTCTCTGTGGACTTCAGAGACGAGACCAACAAGGAGGTGCTTGGAGCTGGAGCTGTTCAGGTCCTTCTCGACACGCAGCACGTCAAAATGCCAGAGCACATCCCCAAAATGAAACTGTGGTCTCTAAACCCAGACACGGGTGTCTGGGAGGAGGAGAGTGACTTCTCGTACACCGCGACAACTGCTGGTGGTCATGGGCGAAGCAAACGAGAGGAGCGCACATTCCTCATAGGCAACATGGAGATCAGAGAACGTAGGCTCTTCAATCTAGACGTGCCTGAAAACAGACGCTGCTACGTCAAAGTACGTGCCTACATGAGCGACAAGTTCCTATCTAGTGAACAGCTGGAGGGCGTTGTGATCAGCTTGATAAATTTGGAACCTAAACCTGGATTTTCCTCTAATCCTAGGGCGTGGGGCCGCTTCGACAGCGTCATAACTGGACACAACGGGGCCTGTTTACCAGCTTTCTGCGATGCCCAAAGGCCCGATGCTTACACAGCTTATGTCACAGCAATGATGGGTGGGGAAGAACTTGAGGCAGCTCCGTCCTCCCCCAAGATGAATCCAAACATCATTGGTGTGTCCCAGCCATATCTGGGTAAACTGGACTACCAGCGCTCCGACCACGAGGATCCGGCTCTGAAGAAAACGGCCTTCAAAATCAACTTAGCAAAGCCTAACCAAAATAATCTCGATGAGACAAATGGGCCAATATATCCGTATCAGAATTTAATAGGTTGTGAAAATGCCCCTATTGATGCGAATCATTTCAGATTCTTCAGAGTGGAAAAGGACAAGTATGAGTACAATGTTGTTCCCTTTGAGGAGAACGATTTGACGACCTGGATGGGAGACTACCTCTCCTGGTGGCCCAACCCCCAGGAGTTCAGAGCATGCTTCATTAAGATCAAGATCCATGGACAGAAGGAAGTGATGGTCAGGTCGAAGAATCTCGGAGGAACACACCGAGAAACGAAGGGCAAACTTTATGGCATAAGAGACATCCGCAGCACCCGGGACATGCGAGAGGCCAACACCTCCGCGGCCTGTTTAGAGTTCAAATGCAGCGGCATGTTGTTCGATCAAGCCGAGGTGGACAGATCCGTCATTTCGGTGCTTCCACAGGGGAACTGTCGCAGGACCGGCACCAACAGCCTCCTCCAAGAGTATCTCCTCAAACATCCACCAGTCGCTCAAAACAACGAGTCCCATGGATTCACCATGCTGGCCCCCGTTGATCCTTTGGGACACAACTATGGCATCTACACAGTCACAGACCAGAACCCCAGGGTGGCCAAGGAGATCGCTATCGGCCGCTGCTTTGACGGCACCTCGGATGGTTTCTCCAGGGAGATGAAGACGGACTCCGGTGTGGCGCTGACCTTCAGCTGTCCAGAGAGGAAAATTAACAGAGAAAGCCTTTTCCAACGCCTGCAGACCAACCCGGCTCAGACTCTGTCACAGATGGGGAGGAGCATGAGGGAGTCGGATGGTATGCAGGTGCAGAGGTTACCCACCCGGATTGTGGCCTATCCTTCAGAGCAGCAGGGCAGGACCCAGGGTCGCAGAGTCACCTCTACAACCAGAAGAAGAGTGTCCATGCGCACACAGCAACGGCAATAGATGTTCCAAGGTAGGCAGGTTTAATATAGATCATTTGAAGTGTCTTTACATTGACAGTAATAGCGGAATGATTTAAATGTCCTTTTCTTTTTAATTTCTAGCTCTTCCATCAAGACTGATATGATGCCGTCGAATCAAGGAAGTAAAAGTTACCGGTCTGTTGATGAGTATGAACTCCCTCTTGACTATCGAAAACCACAAAACAGAGGCAGACGGCAATTCAGCGACATCGATGAGTGGTTGAAGATATTCATTAGATTTACTTGAAGGGTTTGGTATATTCATTTCTTCCTTCCCTCTGAAAATACATGCATCGTTGACTGTGTGTAGCGCGGTGACTGGCATCTACTTAATTAGCTTTGGTCTAATTTTATGTATGAATAGACTAAATTGACGTTTGAGAATGTACCTATTATAGTTATAATTAGTGGCATTCCACTTTCCCCCACGAGTTGAAACATTTAAAAACTGTAAATACTACGCCAGGCCCCAAACACTTCATAATTAGCCATTCCCTTCCACAGAACTGTTCTTAAAGATCAGAAACAACTTGAATCCATCCCTCTCCACCAAAAGAGACGCATGCAGCGGGATGAGGCATGCCACCCAGGGAACAGAGGATGTTTTCTGTCATGCTTCCTAATGTTTTTCATTAGCATGCCACATTGCCATCTGTGAATCAGCCAAACGTCCTTTCACACTTAGAAGGTGCAAGACCGAGGCCTTCGCCAAGAAAAGCATGGATCTCATTAGAGGCAGGCAGTCCAAAATGAGGATAGCTGATTGAGAGGTATGACATAGTTTCCTTCTGTCCTCTGCACATTCCAAATTAGCATCACCAGAGAAACATTTCTTAAAAGTAAATTACCCCAAATATGTCACTTTCTCAGAAAACCTTTCGGACAGTCATTTAGGGTCTAACTTTGTTTTTGTTGTTCGGTAATGTGCTTTGTGAGCTGCGTTTTGTATCTTGAAGTGCAATAACTATATAATTTAACTTAAGAATTCTTAAAGATCAGCATGTAACCAACTATTACAGTACAATGAAGAAACAACTCCTTCAGTACGTGTGGCAGATAGTGTGGTTAAGGTGTTTCCTACGAGGCCTGGCACAGGACTCATTTTAAGCAAATAATTTAACTACGTAATCACTCTCTGAACTGTCAAGAGTTTATTAACCTTTTCATACTTTGCTGCATGACTCAGTTGATTTTTTTACAACTTGTACATCCCAGTAATCTTTTTTACTTTAGAGAGCAATCTTCTTAGAGGGAGTTAAAACTCTCAGCGGAGCCTTCTCTTCATTAACAAAACCCACTGTATGATTCTTACACATGAGAGCGGTAATTAAAAAGTGACACACCTGTGAATTTACTGGCCACGTTTTACGAAATTCTACTGTCAATTTAAAATATCAACTTGATACTAAAGATATTGAGACAGATTATTCGACTTGGATAACAAATATTAGGCAATTTAATTGAGGTTGGTGATTGGAAGAAACTTCCATCTGTTTGCCAAACTTGTTTATCTGCAAAATGTGAACTTGCAGACCCATGGGAAGAGCTCTTCAAGCTGAACTAATCCAAAATCATGTACTGTAAGGGGGGCCGTGGTCCACGGAGAAACCAGGAGAGGCTTACAGGTAAATATAAGCCTGCTGTTAATTAGAAAATAAATTACATATCCTCTTGAGAACTATTAAAATAGTTTGATCCTGACTTTCACAAACAGACAAACAACTTCATCCTGCAAAATTAACTTATGTCATCAACAATATCCTGAGCCCAGGAGGATTGTGGTCAAACATATTTACAATTAAAATGGCACCCAGCCCACACTACAGGCAACTCCATTTAAGCCTGATTATTGTACAATGTGCCACGGATTCATTATTTAAGTGTGTGCCTAAAAGTTAACAATGTAAAGTTGTATGTATAAAATTAAAACCATATATGGAGAGGCAAAGTTCTTCCTCTTCTGGTGACCCCCATGGACTCTGATTTTAGAAGCAAAAAAATCCAGTAGTTAACGGGAGACAAATATTTTTTTAGATGAATTCCACCTTTGTCAATTTGAAAATATAATTTCCAGCTGGGAAGCAAAAGAACAAGCAAGACCCGTGTGAGTACATCCCGGTACGCGACTTTTGGGAACGTAGTCTTCTAATTACATATCGTCAGTCATATACTTATACAGTTTTACAACAAAGCTGCCCGAACATCACACAAAACGAAATGACTCCACGACAATCCTGTGACTGGTCCTATGTGTAATTCATGGCACAATTCAAACAGGATCATAGAATTATTGTCTCTCGTCGTTGACTACCGTACCTATTTGTTCCTGAAGTAAGGTCCCATGGTGGGCCACCAAAAGAGAACTGTAACCCAACAGTTGTACTGGACTCCACATCGGAAAAAAAACAATCTTTTTTCCATTATGTAGTAGGAGCAGCACACTCCAGAAAAACACTCATTAAACCGGAGTAATATAGGGCGACAACATGTGATACCATCGCTATTATCACTGACCTCTCTAATCACAGGCCTGAGTGCTGCCCGCCACTCAACAGATGAAAACAAACCTCTCCCTGCAGCAGATGCATAGCATCCACCCTGTAAACAAAAAAAAGATGATTGAATTCAGGTGTTGGAAGAGATGGGTCCCATACAAATGCAGTGGTTGTGTGACGTCAGCTGAGGAGGCCCAGCAGCTGGAGAGCAACTGGAGGAAATGTTAGAGCAAAGACATCAAGAGCAATAAGAGCGAGATTATCAAGTGATGGATTTAATCATTTTTAGGGGAACTGTTTGGTAAAGTAGAAAAAGGGAAGGGAAAATATTTGTGGTTTTTGGCCTCGCAGTCCATCACTTACCGAATCTCGGGCTTCAAAAGTGGTTGCACGTGGAAGAATGCAGGGTTTTTGTGAGGACAATGCTTTGACAGGAGAATTGGCTTATTCATGAGGAGAAGTTATCAGGGGAGTTTGAAGGACAAGGTAACAATAATAGGCTGAGTAAACCATTATGTAAGGCTTTGCATGGGAAAGTAAGCGGGGCTCTCCAGACACTTACTCCGTCTTCTGGGGAAGTTCAAAAGGAGATTAAACAACCTCTGCAAAGTTTGCTTTCATGACTTAAGAACAAGTCTCCAAAGTCTTTAGAATCAAAGAAAAGGGAGTTTAAGCCTGAGTCCAAAAGATAAAACACGTTGAATGGAAAAGAAAATGTTTATCTTGTTGAACTGGCAGTAGAAGTAGCAACCGTTTCATCTCACTGAGGAATCATTCAGTGTCAATATTATGAATACGGCTTAATGGAGCTTCATGTACATTAGTTTTATACCTTTTAAAGGAATAGTTTGACATTTTGGGAAATAAGCTCATGCGCTTTCTTGCAGAGAGTCTTCTTGCACTCTCTTTTCTGTCTGTTAGGTATGAGGTCATAGCCAGCAGCAGCTTAGCTTAGCATAAAGACTGGGAACAGCCAGCCTGGCAACTTAATGGTGACAACAGGACTCTGGGAAGTCACTGTAAAAGCACAACTGGTTGTACAGATAAAATAATCTCCATACATGCAGAATCTGTTGGCGATGGGACAAGATTTCGGCATCTGAAGCATTCTGGTTTTCGTTTATAGTCCGGGTAGTATTGACCAATCACGTTCGAGCAGGCTGTGGTTGAATGCGGGTAAATAATCCGTGTGGAGAGCAAAGGAGGTAGAACGAGCCAAAATGCAATCTTTAGCTTTTTAATGGTTTAAAATAAGCTTGTTGTTCGTTATTAGTTGATGTAATCCCTCTACTCCAGTCTCATCTCAAGTTGCTAATCGTCGTGTAAACAATGAAGAGTCTTGTTCTGGATATCCTCCGACTTCACCGGATCCCCAGATATAAAGCCCCTCGCCCTCAGATTCGATGGGTTCTGAGATTGCAGATGAAAACAAACAAGATAACATGTTCGTTAGTGAGCTTTAAAGGTGCTGACAGGTACATTTTGTGACATTTGGACAAAGCCAGGCTCTTTTTAGCTGCGTTAATGCTAAGCTAAGCTAACCGGCTGCTTGCTGTAGCTTCATATTTACCGTACAGACATGAAAGTGGTATCGAACTACTCACCTAACTCCTGGCAAAAATCAAGTGAGCCAAAGTAATTTAATGATTAACGTAACTAATTACTTTAAATAAATATTACTTTTTAAAGGAGTGAAAAGTAGATTACACTTCCTGAGTAACGTGATTGTTACAGCCGGACTGAAGTCTTGATTTGTATCTTCAATACCGTAGATCTACGAGCTAAACTTGGATTGTTGTTGCTATGAAGAGAATTTGAAACTAAAAATCTGATGAAGTTAATTGCTTTTGAAATACTTCACCAGATTTTGCCTCTTTGTCACAGAATTCCAGTGGGTGCATGTAATGCTAAACTTAACTTTAGGCAGAAATTACTCTCAATCCACCAACAATTTATCCGTAAATTAAGCATGATCAGATTCATCCATTTTCTCTTCTGTACAGTCCAGAGAGATCCTAATTTATTCAGGAGGTGGTCTTTGAACCTTTTCCACCACTTTCTGGAGTTTGATTTTGTCCACTGTTCTCTAGGAAGACTTCCTAACTTCCAGTTAAAGAATTACATAAATGTTCTCCTGATAATACTCTCAACTATTGCATGGTGTTGCCGATCTTGTTTCTCTCCGAGTTTTTATGTGTAAATTGTGTATTGTATTAAATCTACTATTATTGTACGAACAAGAAACTGTAAATAAATGATTTTGTGTAAACTTCTGATTCATATTTTCTGAGTTGTGTTTTATATATTAAGGACACAAAAAAATAAACAATTTCACATTTCTGATGAAAATGTTTTTTTTCTTTGAAATACAAGATATAATTTTGTGAATTAAACAATACAGATAAATATTCAGCTTTGCATGAGTCACAACAATAAATATAGTTAACAGCAAACAGCAGTTTACAGTACAAGTGATCAGGTTGTTAAAATTAACATAAAGACCAGATACATAATTCACATAAACAAGAAGCAAAATGCATTAAATCTTTTTGAGGAAATGTAGTGAAAGGCTAAACTGAACGCTGTCTGTTTCTCAGCGAGACTCAAGATCTCAAGAGGTAAGAATGTAAGAAGCAGCTTCCCGACCTGTGCAGCATCCTGAACAATCTACTTTCACTTTTCTACCGACACAAAATAGCTGCATCCCCGTTGTGTACGCCCATTACCCTGCAGGTGATGAGTTATGCTGCACACAACAGATATTTTTAGCCAGTGGAATTATTATTGTAATAAAGTTGCACAGCAGGAATCACAGCAGGGAGGAAAATGAGAGCGTTATGTCACACCGTTACTGACACCTTCGTGACTGGGTGCTGTGCCTCTGCCAGAAAATATAGTGAGTGAGTGCCCTCACCGCTGAGACATAAAGAGAAACACACACACACACACACAAAGCTAGAAAAACACACTTTTCTTGAGTCAATGGTGCATTTCAGGTCGTGAACCTTCCTCCGGCGCCTTACTAACCATTTCTTTTGAGTCCCATTGCGTCAGTAACAGACAAACCTGTCAGTGCACAGACCACGAACGGAGGGAAACGCTGATGGAGACGTCTTGACTCCGGGACCGCCACCAATCCTAATTGCAGTGCCCTTCATGTGTGTTCTACTTGCTGGAACTTTATTCGTTTTTGTTTTATTTATTCTTTTTTTTAAACCTGTTCAGAAATACAAATTCTGTTTCTGTTGCGCGACATCACTGGAATAAGTGTCTAAATGTATCCAAAGGCCACAACTCAGCGAGTGAGTTGAAAACATGGAGGAGGGTTATTGATGGTAATGAGACTGTTTAGTATAGTTGGACATTAGCTGCAGAAAGAAACTGTAATTACGTCTCCGCTGTTACATGATTGTACCGATTCTTCCACTGAAATGAGTGGAAACTTTATACTCATGGATGTAATACTTGTTGAACTGCACTGGCAGTCTGTTAGGAGCTCAACATTACAAACATAACTGATTATTCAAATCTACTTGTTTTGTAAAAAGATTGTTTTTCACTCATCTGTACTATTGATTTTTGGCATGTTGTCCAATTGAACTGCAGTTACAAATCACTAGATTATCTCTGCTTTTTGCATGTATTGTAATGACTTCTAATATCACCTCTAATGACACAAAGGCTTCATGTCTGACTGCATTGTGAATTCATCCCCTCATTGCAATTATGGTTTGATTTTGTATTAAAAGTTACAGTGAGAAACTTTTAAATGTCTTAATATTTAATACTGATGCCACTATATGACCTACGTAAGTAAACAAGACCTTCAGCGAGAAGATCGGCTATTTCTTTATAGATATAATACCCGTTATCTGGTCCGACAGGTTCACCCAAAAGCTCCTTCAGCTCAGACTCAAGCCGTGCCTCCAGCAGCGACCGGCCCACCGCCGACAGATCCGGCTTCACTGGCGCCTTCGACCTGCAGTCGGAAGCCGACTGTCAGACCCTATTGCAGTAAAATTAGGTTTTCTTAAGGGAATCTGGCTCTCGGGAACCCTACCGCTTTTGTCCACAAGGACCGCCAAAATCAACACAAAATAAAAGTTCCTTGCAGTAGCTTTAAATTGAAGATTTGGGAGTATTTTCTGTACTCCAAAAACAGAAACGATCTGCAATACAAGCGCAACAACACAGGCAATAAATAGACTCGGTTATATTTTCATCAGAAATAATATCTTTAGGAATCCTTAAAAATCTAGAATGATCAAGTGGCAAATTGTTTTATCCTTCCAATAATAAAATACTATATGCTGGTGAGTTCTCTCAACATCTAGTGAGAAAAGTAACATTTAGTGTTTTCATGTTGCATATTTGCATATTTGCTACCGTCTGGTGCTCTCCATGTTCAGCGTCTGTGATGAAGAATCTACCTGGAATGGAAGCAGGAAAAACTAAATTTCATGATGTCACGTCCTCTTCGAGACAATCCTCTTCGACGTCATCCTGAGCTTACAGAAATCAAAGTAGAAGCGGTCTGTGAAAAAGACAGATAAGGCCGAGGAATGTTTCGGATTGCTTGGGTTTGTGGAACAAGTCTTAAAAATAGACGCCGAGGTTGTTCAACTCTTCGGCTCCGCAGGAAAAGGCTCCAGGGAGAGACGACTGGCGTGCTTCACGTACACGTTGCCATCCTCCAGCTTGACTTCATACACTTGTTGCTGTAAAAAACAGAAAAATAAAGGAAGACAAAGGAGCTGATAACAACACGAGTAATAACTCACGCCTTAATGTGTCAACAGAAGTGAGCTTACAGTGCATTTAATGTTAAACAATGTAGCGAACCCTGCTGCGAAAACCGTTTGTTTTTATGTTTCTTCTGCTGCTTGTTATGTACGAGAGAAACATCGGTTAATGAAAATGATTAATGGAAAAGAGAACAAGATGTTTACGGAAAGTAAAGCTCTTGTTTGGGACCGTTCACTGCAACCAAACAAGAGAACGGTGGGAACAGAAAAGATGTTCGACAGAACAAAAAGGGGAAATATAATCTTGACTCTGACTCATGAGCTGTGATTTCTTTTTTTTCATGCCGTGTCAATAAATGGAACTTCCTACTTCTGATAGAAGTGGACGATTATGATGTACTTAATGATGATATTTTGGGCATCTTTTTGGGGCCAACTGATGTTTTCACTGACCTGTAAGGACGTCCCTGACTTCCCCGTCCTGAGGTCAAAGTCGTAGTCGTGCCAGGGACAGAAGACCTGCAGGACTCCGTCGGCCTCCTCGATGTCCCCCTCACACAGAGGACCGCCTGGGACACGCAAGACAGGAAATTGTTAATCACCGTCTTCTCAAAACAAATGACTTTTGCTGTCGTCCTTCTAGAGATAATGTGATTGTGTTGTGAGGTTTGCATAACAAGCAGTGGCGTAGCGTCGTTATGACGCACAAACACACACTGAGGGCTGGACTCTAATTTAGGGAGCTTTGTTACCGTCTCCTGTTCTTTTCTCTCTCGTCTTCACTCACTGCATCGTTCATATTTAAAATGCACGACTGCCGGCTCGGCTTGCAGATGTCCTCACCTGTGATACGTTATATGGCGAGTATCGTCACATGATGAAATAGAGATTTGACTTTGGACAACATCAACATACATATTACCAGGCAATCATTATTGTATATCTGTATATGACAAAAATATGAAAATAGTATATTTTTAAATAATTTATTCGTAGTTTTAATAGTTTATGTAGAATAAGCATGTCATTACATTTTAGATTGACACTGGGTTTTTTTTTCTTCTATTTTTAGTGTATATAGCAAATAACAGTCAAATTAACAGTTAGTTCTTTCTCAAACAGGCATATATCTGAGTGTACCCAATATAACACATCGTTAGAGGGGCCCAAAGCAACCACTCGGCCCTCACTCTGTATAGTCACGGCCCTGTTAACATGGTGTGGAAGCTCCTATATACTGTATGTGTGGAGCTGATACACCTATGAGAGGACAGCAGGCTGCCACTTTTTATAGACCTTTCAGTACCAGCTGAGAGATAAATTAACCAGAACCTCATACTCTGTGAGAGGAAGTGACGCACAGATGTACTGTCGGTGCATTACAGTGTATTCGCTTATTATTTAACATTTTTTTAAATGTGTTGTAGAATCTTGTGCACTACCCTGTCTTTTTAGAGGTTGATAAGGTTGATGTTTTTTTGTTTTTTTTTACCGGAATGTGAACAGCGAGCGTCCATGGCGAAGAACTCCTCCTTCACGTAGAAGAGGCAGACGTCAGAGTCGCGGCCGAGCGAGGAGTACATGAGGCGGCAGCGCTTCGTGGAGAGCCCCGCTACCGGGCCTATGAGTCTCCATGAGACGCCCTCCGTGGTTCCCTCTTCATCTCCGGAGCCAGACGCCATAAAGAACAGCGAAATGAGCCGGGGTTGTCTTTCCAATTTGCGCTACTTCTCGGCGGCAAAATGCAATTTGGCAGTTTATCTCGGTGGAGAATATACTCCGTTTTTATCCACCGGGCCGAGCGGTGCGACGGTCAGCGGTGCGGGACTGAGCTGCATCCATCCGGGCTGACTGCAGCCTGCTGCCGGCGAGCCGTGACGCTGTCACACCGAGAGGCACGAGCACGGCTGCTAACAGCTAACGAGCAGCACAGCCTTATTACGTTCTCTTAGATGTATCACTTTAATATACAGCTGCTCCTAAAATAATCACAAAGCTGAGGCAGCAGCTAGATCCAGCTTGCAGAAATTGGCCTTTCCTGTTAAATCAAAGAGCTTTAGAGACATTTCGGGTAAACAATACTGCGTCTTAAATACACTCATCCATTTAGAGATTTTGTGCTATTTTGCTTCCAGAACATGTGTTCTTTCAGACTAGTGGAGCGAAAACATCCAAAATATATACATTTAGGTGTTTATTTTACTACTTTGTCATTTTATTTCCCCTAAATTCACCTAAAGTTAACATTAGATAATGCCTTTGATAATTCAACATTCCTTTTTTAGAAAAATTGTAACAAAAAAAATTATTGCCTTAATGTAAGTAATCAACTGAAGTTTCATCGAATAGTTCATTTATTCACCCTATTCCCCTGTAGTGCCTTCATAATGTATGCAATTTTACAAAACATATCTTTAAAGGCCGCTTTTGTATTCGCACTGATCCAGTCTGCACTTCAGCAGCACTTAAATACAGCAACCTTTCCAGTTGCATTGCTCTCTATATTCTAAAGGTTTTTACGGAGGGAGCAAATTAGCACATATTTAAATACGAACTTGTAAGAAAACGTGTGATGCAAAAAACAATTGTCTTAATATAATTAATCAACTGGGGAATTTTCATGGTGATATCTGTTAGTTACATTTTTTCCCTTATTTACATGAAGTGTTTCCCCTTAATGTGGGGACTTCTGTCCATCATAATAAACAGGCTACATGAACACACCCAGACATACATTTCTGTTTTATGTTCAAACAATAAAACTCTGCAAACACACCAATCCTCCGGGCGTTCTTGGTGGCCCTATTGAGTTCACTGGGAGCCCTTTAATACACAGAGCGTTGTACTTCTTCCCAAAGAGTGCGGTGAATGACGATCATTACTTTTTTTACTGTGCAAGTGGTTCAAAACCATTTCTTAATTATCAGCTATAAAGCCTGCTATTGTTCTTACATGGCAGACTCCATAGGTGCTCCAGACAGGTATTTGGCTGATTTCTTCATGTTTCCACAGTGCAGGTTCTTAACATTATTACAAGTTGTTCGTGAGCCAGGTTATTAGTTGTCGAACTTGCATGTCAACGGTGTAATGTTTTCACTTGCTGCAACAACAAAAAAAAATCCATTACAGTCAGCAGAACTTTATCAAATAAAAGTCGATGGAACAGATAAAACGTAACCTCAGAGACATACGTCAATAAACAGGATCTGCAACTTCTGTCAATCATTTTAACCTCAACCTTTTATATTTGTGCCATATGACTATGACAAAGTAGATTTATTACTCATAATTATCGTCAGAGTATAAAACTGACCTTTCCAGTAGCATTGAAGTTGAGATTTCTTGCCACATATAAATGTATCCAATTGGCAAATTGCAAAAAAAAAAAAGACAAAACTGATCTGTATTTCTTCAACTTTTATTGACTTTGTCTCCATCGCTTCATTGTGCCAGTAATAATGCCGCTGGCGGTAGAAGTAATGCGAGTTACTGTCTAGACCGGAGTGATGCATAACAGAGGCCGCTTGTTCTGATTCCTGACTTTGAGAAACTGACTCATGTAAGGCGCCCTTACAGCAGGAGGAAGGACGAGAAAGCGTGTCACGGGCAGGAAGAGAGAATGTGCACTGCGTCTCGTCAGAAGTTGGATCTCAGCGAGAGTAAATGTGAAGTAAAATCTCAGAAGGATGAGGAGAGCCAGTGTAAAGAAACCTGAGCTGAGAGAACAAATTCTCAAATATGTCGTGTTCTAGGCCTCTAACAGCCTCCGCAGACCGACAGGTTATCATCATCATAACTCATGCTACACACGTCCTGATGTGTTCTGTTAAGTGTGAATGCTGACTAAAGACTTCTACATGCCAAGAGTTTGGATTAGGTACTAAATATTATGGACTAACATGTCATGTAATAGTATGGTGCTCATCTTTGTTTGGCTGCTTTGAGTCTTTGGTTCTGCCTTGACCATTGCTCAGCATCACTTTGTATAACGGAGTTAAATAGGTTATTGTGTGCTAAGTCACAACTGTGTAACTCTGTCTCTGATAAAATTAAGTTCCCATATAACTAAGTTGTGTTTTGAGGGAAACTTATTTTCTCGCGCATCGCGGTCACAGTTTGAAACACGTGGTTTTTGTTGTAAATTGAAATAAAGCGGAAAACACGACAAAAACTATCATAAAAATCATGGGTTGGCTGAAAATAACTACGCCAAGGAAACAAACTAAACAAAAATGCGATAAAAGTACCTTATGGTTTGGCTTAAAATTTCAACGAAAATGAAACAATACCAAACAAAAATGTAACAAACTTAAATAATTAACTTACCTACAATGAGTGTTTATCACCATATCATCATAGCACTTTCTATGTAAATACCCAGAATAAAACCCAAATAACAAGCAGCAGGGAGACACAGCTGGGGATATTTTGGCGTTTCTGATTAGCACAGGTAGGCTTGAACCATGCCGCCTCCAATCACACAGCAGGGTTTAATTGGAAAATCACCAAAAGTGTTGATTTTCGACAATGTGGCCAAGTATTACTGATGAGAGGGTGGGGTCCTGAGGTTAGGAACCGGACTTCAGAGTATTTCAGCCAAACAGCTGTGCAGTGAAGTGGGCATGTCTGCAGGTTTGAGGTGCCACTGACAAACTGACAAGTCATTACCAACAGCTCCGCTTTGGCACGCTGAAAGGTGAGAAAACGGCGAGGCACACGTTGTGAATCAAATTAAATGAGCTCCAAATGATTTGAGGTTTTTTTAGGGAGAGAGGGGGAGAAAAAAAGTAATTACAGACATCGAAATGATGTACTGTGGAAAATTTGAATCAGTGGGCTGGATGAGTAAACAAAGGTGCAGACAGCGAGAGACGAGCCAAAATGAGGATAGCGCTGTCCATAAATTTCTTTGACTTCTGCTTCGACTACTGGACAGTGCAGTTATTTGTCAGGCAAAATTTGGTATAGAGAAAGTCTGGCTCAGATGAGATATTAGACCGTGAGCGAAGCCCAAACTCATCCATCATTAGCCTCATCTTGTCCACAACCCAGCAAACCACCTTCAAATGTCTCCTAACTCATCCGCCAAGGATGGATGGAAGACAAACTCTCCAGCCAACGTGCTTTTTTTATTAGCCCAGCAAATGTTTCAGCCAAGCTCAAAACGCCGCTACCTGCTTGCTTTGCTCCTTGTTTCAACAGATCTTGTCATTCAAGCGCTTCTCGTTTCATGTACCGATGTGAGGGCGGCGTGATTTAAAGCTCCCACAAGGAGCTCATATAAGGATAAAGTCAGTTTTTTGCTCAGTACCTGATGTCCTTTTTTTAATAACTGTGGAACGTGAATAGCCATAATGTCGTTATGTCACTTCAAATGCAAATCCAGACTCAATTTTGATGTTTAGTGGACAGGAAACTGAACCCACATCTGACTCCTGGGCCCAGTCCCGATGTCTGCCCTCACACACCAGCATTCCCAAAAAGCCCCAAGGCTCTGCATGGATCCACTGTGAAAACGATAAGTGGTCAAGGGCCCTTTAATAAACGTTGAAGCTCTTTATGCACATTTTATACAAGTCTGCAATGCTGCTGACTTTGCTTCAGGGACTAACCCACAATTCAAAGCATTCTCTTGTTAAAAATGGGCAAAACAGGAGGTCCAAAAATCAAGAACAATTTATCCAACAGAAAGCACTAGGTCTAGTTCTATTAATCTACTCTGATTAAACATAGTAACACATGGACTTATTCGATCTGGAAAGTGAGCAGCAAACTTAAATAAACTAGCCCCCCCCCCCCCACTGCTCTGACCTTGCCCATCTTCACATATGGCCTTCATTTTGAGCTGAACTACACATGTGTAAAATGTCATGGTTGCATCACGTATGGTTGCAACGCTATCACACTGAGAAAATCTGTCCACAGACAGACATATAGACACCTGGTAAAGTACTCAAACTAATTGTAAGCCCTTACACCGTCTTGCACTCGTACTGATCACACCAGTGATATATATATATATATATATGACACACAGTCTGTGGTGCAGCCTGACTGAAAAGCAGGCTTCCCTAAACAGTTATTTAAGGAAACCAAGAAGAAAGACCACGAGCCCGTGCAGATCCTGTACCCTGAGTGGGCAGTCATAAAACAAAAACGGAAATCATTGCGGACTCTCAACATCCCCTCTTCTCTGAATACGAACCTCTTCCATCAGGAAGAAGACTTTGTGGGCCAAATCGCAAATCAAACAGCTTGAAGCTCTCGCTTGTTCCAGCCTCCATCAAGCCGCTGAACTCTGACGCTAAATCTGCAATCGAGCGTAGTGCAATAAATACACTTTTCTTTTCTTCTTGTCTCTTTTGTTGTCAAAATGTTGTCAAATGTCTCTTATGTTTAGAGGTTTTTATGTTGCTTTTGTGATGATTTTTTTTTATGTGAAGCACTGCTGTCATACATAATCTGTGTTGCTCCTCGGTTTTACCTTATTTCAATCATACCATTCAAGTTTCCTTTTTTAATTTTCTTACTCACTTCTCTCATTTCACTTTGCTTTGTGCCTTTAAGTGTTTTCCTGCCAGTTTTGATTATCTGATTAGTTGCACCTGTCCCTCGTTAGCTTCTGCAGTCACCAGACCTCCTGCTCACCTGTTCTGACTTCCCCATTAGTCGTTATTTATACCTTCCTGGTTCCTCTGTTCTTTGTGAGTTTGTCATCGTTGTTATTTGGCGTTCTGTTTCCTGTTTGCCTGCTGGACCTTCTGCTTGTTTGGACTCTGGCCACATGTAAGGTAAATCTACAATAATTCACTTAAGTAGTCCTGCTGCTTTCTCAGCTCTCTGCATTCGAGTCCAATCCGTGTTCAAGTACTCACTGCACTGTGACCATGGCAGCACCTCAAAACTACTTCTTTTATCTCCTTGAGGGAAGCGCACAAATCCTAAAATAAGTGCGTATTGTATCATTTGTCAAGAAGGAAATCCTCCAGCTCTGCGAGGAAGGAAAAATGTAGAAAACACACTCGTAAGCTCCGGATCTCATAAAGGTGTGTGAATCTGGTCACTGTGGAAGCCATGGAAGGAT